AGGTACAAAAAATAATGAAGTGAGATTATATCAAGCTAAAACTGTCTACATAGCAAAGAAAGCAATCAACAAAGTGAACTTTTAGTGTCAAATATAAAAAGTCATGGATGGATATAAATATCAAAGTGATTTTCTGTTGTTTACAAGGGTTTCTAATAGAGTCCTTTTGTTGTCTTGAATTCATTCTGAGTTTATTTTTGAGTATGGTATAAAAATCCAATATTGTTTTTTTTCAGTTGTCCTAACAGTACTTACTATAATTTATCCCTTCCCCACTGTGTAGACCAGACTCCTTTATTAAAAACCAGTTGACTATAAATGCATGGTTTTACTTCTGAGTTTTCTGTACAAATTACAAAATTCTTCAAGGGTCTTTTTTGTGCCAACACCATACTTTTTTAGTTTCTACAGGCTCATAATGTAATTTGAAATCAATAAGTGTGATGTATCCAACTTTTTCTTGCTCAAGATTGCTTTGACTAATTGATTTTCTTTATAGTACCATATGAATTTTAGGATATTGTGTCTATTTCTGTGAAAAATGCCATTGGTATCTTGATGGGGATTGCATTAAATATATAGATCACTTTGGATATTATAAGCATTTTGACAATATCAATTCTGATCCATGATAGAAGTCTTTTTTTTTTCAATTTATTTGTGTCATCTAAGATGTTGATTTTGTGTTCTGCAACTGTACTGCTTTCATATACTAGTTTTAATAGTTTTTTGGTAGTGTCTATAGGATTTTCTGTATATAAGATCATATCATTTACAAATAGAGAGAATTTTATGTGATTTTTCCTATTTGAATGTCTTTTATGTCTTTCTCCTGCTTCATGGCTCTGGCTAGAACTTGAGTATTACGTTGAACAAGTGTCACAAGAATGAACACCATTGTCTTGTTCTTGAACTTATACTACAGATTTTAATTACAAGTTATGTTAGTAAAAATAATAAATTTCTTATAACAAAAATAAGTTATAATGTCTAGGAATGTATTTCAGTCCATAATAACAGTTTTCCTGGAATTCAATGAAATATTTCTATGTTCTTGTTATTTCTCCTCTATAAAATTATCTCTGAATTTTTTTCCTAGGAGTCAATCCTACACAATCCCTTTCCCCCAAAGTTTCCCTCTTTTTCATAGCTAATCCTTAATTTAAAGTCTTACATGTTCCATTAATTCTTGTTTAAAATCTCATTTAGGTAGTTTATCAGCTGAAAAACAAATAACAATAGGTTTCAAATGGCAGCCAACTAAACTCTAAAAGACAAAGAAGGCAGGTGCCAAGATGTTAATATTCTGCTGAGTGTAGGAAATCATCTCTGGAAATTTTTCACTGGCTCTGGCAGAGTTATGGGGACCAATGAACTCTAATGATCAATTAGCCACTGCCATGGATGGGAAAGTTCAAGAAACCCAAGGGGTACAGGCATCTGCTTGCCACAAAAATTTTACTTGCACAAAACAATTGTGTTATGGTTTAGATATGAGGTGTCTCCCAAAAGTTCATGTGTGAGACAATGAAGAACATTGGGAGGCGAAATTATTAGATTTGGGCAGGTATAACCTCATCAATGGATTGATCCACTGATGTGGATTAAGTAGATGGCAATTTTGGGCAGGTAGGGTGTGGCTGGGAAAGGTGGGTCACTGGAAGCATGCCTTTGGGATTTATATTTTGTTCTTGGTGAGTAGAGTCTCTCTCTCTCTCTCTCTCTCTCTCTCTCTCTCTCTCTCTCCCCCCCCACCCCCTTTCTACCTGATTACCATGTCCTGAGTTGCCTCCTCTGCCACATTCTTCCCATGATGTTCTGCTTCACCTGGGCCCAGAGTTATAGAGTCAGCTGTCTATATACTGGGAAACTCATGTTTTTTCCTTCATATTTAATGGTAGTATGAGAAGTCACAACTATACTTATTAAAGGAATACAAAACAAACCAGCCCATTCCCAGAAACATACTGTGCTCCTCCAGAGGATGGACACCTTGCACCATCCACCTCAGTAGGGACTTGCCATTGCCTGAGTCAGGGGAGGGGCGCAGCATAAGCTGGAAAAGTTTTAGAATGTTTTAAGTGAAGCTTTGTGTGTGATTCTGTTTTGACAAAGAAGTTGTCTACATTTTGCTTATGTCCTGAAACTTTTTGTAAGACTGAATTTGAAAGTGATGAACTAATTAATCAGGCCCACGAAATTCTAAGACAGAACAGAATTTAGCCAATGGCATTATATTCTAGCAGTTTTTAGCCAAGTTTACTGTGATAACACATTTGAAAAAAACTTGAAGTTTGACCAGAAAAGTGCAAGCAAAACTGAAGCTAAGAAAGCTGTGGTTGTTGAAGACATTACTGCCTCTAAAAAGATGCTAAATAATTTACCTAGAGACAATAGGAAAGATGGCTAAAGGGTATCTCCTTAATAGGCAAGACCAAGCCCATCTCAGGCTCTAGTGTTTAAAAGTAAATTTCCTTTGAGAAGAGACCTGTGGGGTCCCTGCCTGCACAGAGGGGCCTAGGAAGTTGTTTCACCATGCTTAGCCACTCGGGCACTCAAAGACTGCTGAAACTGGGGTCCCAGAAGGCTTGATTACTTCTTAAGATGGCAGCAGACCTTGTAGACAATAAGTGGTGCTGGTTTTGCAGGAATGTCAGAAGCTGGAGTTAAGGGGTCATGAAAGCACCCACCAAGATGCCATGGGAAGAATTGGGAGGCCAGAGAAAGTGTAGCAGGATCAAAATTCCTGAAGGCTGCACCTGAGAGGGTGACACATGATGTTGTGAAAAGGAGGCTGACGCTGCAATGGTGACCCCTGAGATTAAGAGATGCTAATTACATGGGATATCTGCTAAGGAAAGCTTTGGGAATTGAACAGAAACAAGCCAAGAGAGGCCATGTGGGCTGCAACCAGTAAGGTCATATGAGTGGATTTACACAAGTTTTGGAGAGAACACCATGATGCAATGTACCCCAGATGCTGGACGTAAGCTATAGTATTATTTGCCTAGCTGGATTTTGGTCCTGCTTTGGTTTAATCACTTATTTCTATGCTCCTAGTCCTCTCTTGTGGAATAGAAGTGTTTATTCTGTACCATTATATATTGGATATTTGTAATTTGCTTTTGATTTTTACAGGGGTTTTTCCTGGGAGTTTATCTTGTATCTCAGTAGCCTTTTGACTTGGACTTTTGGGTAATACCAGAACTGTTAAAGACTACTGAGTATTCTTAAAAATGGACTAAATGTATTTTGTTTTGTGATATAGGTCACTGGGGGCCAGAGGCAGAATATTGCAATTTAGATACGAGGTATCCCCCAAAAGCTCATATGTGAGAAAATGCAAGAATATTTAGAGGTAAAATTATTAGATTATGGTATCTATAACCTAATCAGTGGATTAATCTACTTGATGTGAACTAACTGGGTGGTAACTGTAGGCTGTTAGGGTTTGGATAGGGAAGGTCACTCACTAAGGGTGTGCCTTTGAGGTTTATATCTTGTCTCTGCTTCCCAATTGCCATGTTCTAAGCTGCTTTCCTCTTCTATACTCTTCCACCATGATGCTCTGCTTCACCTTGGGCCCAGAATTTTGAAGTAAACCATCTAGGAACTGAATCCTCTGAAACTGTGAGCCCCAAATAAACTTTTCCTCCGCTATTTTCTCATCAGATCTTTTGGTCACAGCAACAAAAAACCTGACTAAAATAAATGGAATCTGTGCCCAGTTGCTTCAGTGGCCTCTTAAAATTTCTCAACTAAGGAATATGCTGTTTTTAATATAACTAGATGACCATGTTCATAGCATGCCAAGTTAAAGAATAACACATTAACCACAAAATAACTTTATTAAATTATATCCTGCTAGTGCAAATAATTCCATTTATTCATTATATTAATTCCTAAATTGAGTTGTTTAGACCTTGATACAGAATATAAGATATAAAAACATTTGCTTTATACAAACTGTTGTTCAGTGACTTCAGCTGATAAATTAAAAAAATATGAAAACTTTGGATAAATCAGACTTGGGATACAACAGTCTAACTTCAATATGCCTTCATACTTCGGGCCAGTTACACAAAAGTTCATAGGATGATGGATAGTGATAGAATTTCAAGTTACCACTGTCTATACTTTTGTCCAAAGTTTCTAGAAACTTCTACTATTCCCTACCAGAGAACTCCCCCATCTCTGTTCACTTTTATATTTATGTCATTCCCTTTTATTCTTCTTTTTATGTCACCTCCTCATGGTTCATTATTTTATGCTAACTTCTTAAATATTCATTTCTGTCTTACATGGACAGTATTTCATTTATGACACCATAGCATAACTAAAACTCAATGCAGCTGATGAGGTGTTGATGTCTTCTTTTACTCAAGGTCCCCCCAATTATTCTGCCATTTTTTCAAGTAGATAAATGTAATCATATCTGAGACTCTATATGCTCCACTAAGTACATCTGTTTGTGATCTCCTTGTTTGCTCCAAATATCTTGGAAGGGTAACCATTGTATAAGAACATAGAAATCAGCCCTGAAAAATAAGGAGATATGACAAAGTCATAGCTAATTAGAAAAGCAGGGTGAACACATCTCCTCTGCCTTTGGACACAGTGTCATCTACATGGCACCACATTGGGAATCATTAACTGTGGAAAAGGTGTTTTCATTCTGCATTAAGTCTTCTATAATGCTCAGATATAATGAGAATTCATGCCCATTCACCATATGTGACCACAATATCCCCATTTCCCAGCCTCATTCCTTTGGAAAGTTGTGATAGAAGTCAACAGTTACTCCTAGCTGCACAGTAGTCAGAGGAAATGAACTAGAAAGAGTCCCCAAAGGTCCCTATGTCTAACATTCAAGCCAAGAAGGCACTAAATCCACAGAGATTACAGAGGACTATGCATGATCAACAGTCTTCCAAGGAACAAGAGAGGATCCATGGTGTGAGAGTTATTACTTAAAATTTTACTCATTCTCTTTTCCCACCTTAACCTGAGTCTCTGCTTCTTCTTAGTACTTTCCACAGAGCTCCCTTCACATCCTTGTTTCTTAGGGTATAAATTAGAGGATTGAGAATGGGAGTGACTATAGTGTAAAAAAGGGCAACAAATTTTCCCTCCTTCTCAGAATAACTGTGGATAGGTTGGAGGTACGTGTAAATGGCTGAGCCATAGAAGAGGAAAACAACCAGCAGGTGGGACCCACATGTTCCAAAAGCCTTTCTGCGCCCAGCCATTGATTTGACCTTCAGTACTGCCTTAGCAATGTACACATAAGAGACTAGAATCAGTGCTGCAGGCACAACCAAGATTATGACTCGGGCCACAAACATCTTGGCCTCTGTGCCTCCTGTGTCCTCACAGGCCAACTTCAGGAATACAGGCATCTCACAGAAAAAGTGGTTCAGTTGATGGCCACAGAGAGGTATGGCCATCATGAGGCCTGTCTGAATCAGAGAGTTCATGAATCCTCCTACCCAGGATGTGATAGCTAATGCCTGGCAGAGAAGGGGGTGCATGATGGTTGTGTAGTGGAGTGGACGACACACAGCTGCATAGCGATCAATGGCCATCACCACCAGGAGCACACACTCAGTGGAGCCCAGGGCAAGGTAGATAAAGAGCTGGGCCACACACCCTCCATAGCTGATTGTCCGGTCCAGTCCCTGAAGGTTGATTAGGAGCTGAGGCACAGTGCTGGTGGTAAAGCAAAGGTCCAGGAAGGAGAGGTGGGAGAGGAAGAAATACATGGGCGTGTGCAGTCGAGGGTCTATTCGGGAGAGAATGATGATGGTGGTGTTGCCCAAGAGAGTTAGGGAGTAGAAAATCAAAATAAAGACAAAAAGGAGGATCTCCAGTTGAGGCCAATCTGAGAAGCCCACCAAAATGAAGCTCTCTCCAGAACTGGTGTTGAAACTTCCCATAGCCTTTCACCTGCCAAATAGGAGAAAATAATTCAGGTCATCCTATGAAGAATACCATTAAAACATTTATTTCACTATGTTTCTTAAATTCTCCAAAATTGTGCATGGGTTTTTTAAAAAATTTTTCTATTTAGTTCTGTCTATCCAGTCTTCTATGATGACTCTTCTTGAGATAGGAGATCACTGAATTAGGAATAATATGGCCTAAGTTTGAACTCTAGTCCTGTTGTTCATTTTCTTTGTGACCTCAGCCAGCTCAGCCAATCCTTTGGATGCAATGCTTCCTTGTCTGAAAGTAGAGATGATATATCTATTATTTCCCTTACAAAAAGATTGTGGTAACTACTTTTAAAAATCTAAGCTGGAAAACACAGCATTAGTTTCCTGCAGTTCCAACTGGCTTCTTTCCTTGATTTATTAGATAACCTGTTTTAGGAGATTAAAACACTACTGAGATATCAATTTAGATTTTGAGTGTTTGTCTGCTTCCTTCTCCTCAATAAATATGGTCAGTACACCAAACCTGGAAGCCCCATGCATGACCAGAAATGGACTGAGAATAGTGTAGAACCATTTCTTTGGTGATAGCAATTAGTAACAAACATTGCATTATTATGAATGATCCTACCTGGAATACCTTCCCCCACACATCTTCAACTGATAAATCATTCATTACTCCACAGAAGGAGTTTTCCCATCCATTCCAGCCCTATCCTCTCTGTGCAGTTTTCTACAACACTTGACATTCTTATCTCATTCTTTTTATAAAAATTGTAAGTCTTTGCCTCTCTCTGAGTCCTCAGTGGTAGAAAAAAATAGTAAATATAATAATAAATATTGTCTTCTTTTAAGGTACATATAAAGGTGATAAATACATGTTAATTTCATTTGGGAAATTAATGTTTGTAACTTATACAATGTTGCATACATTTTGGCAAATGAAATGTTTGACTTTCCCTTCAAATCTTATGAAAATTCGCCTTCTGAAAAACCTGCATATAAGCTGCTAATACATTCTAATAAGCCATAGAAGTAGGATAGAAATTAAGGTTGCTTTGCTTAAGACTGATATTTTTGTAGTTAAAAATCCAAATAAGATTATAAGAAGTATGACAGAAAGCAAAAATAAAACAAGAAAACAAACAAAATAAGCTCCATATTAGCAACTTTTGCCAAATTAATTAATTTTTCTCTTTTGTTAAGTTTTCTGAACTGGAAGATCATCACTAATGGATCAAGGCTGGATCAATGATTTTAATAAGAAATTTAGATGCTATCTATGATGATTTTGTGGAAAATGGAGAAAATATGAGTGATAAAAACAAAGTGTTAATTTTCATGTTGTCTAACCAATGTATCAAAGATGGTTTTTGAATGAGAAGCATATTGGTGCACATATGAAGTCCCTACTGATCAACTCTATCTATGAGGGTGCTCTCTGTTCTAAAAAATTCACTTCTCTAAGTCTCAGTTTACTTAAGTGTAAAACACAAGAAATAACTTACTTCACAGGATTTTGATCATTTTAAAATTATACAATGTTATTTGTACATTAAAATAAACACATGGGATTCAGCATTTAATATTTTATATTTAACATTATTTTATTTTATTTTGATTAGCATGTACAAATTGTATATTTTGGTGTATTTCAGTGAGATATTTTAATACATATATACACTATACACTAACCAACTCCTATCTCCTTTACCTATCCCCCCTTCATTTACCAAATTCTACTGATAGCTATTGTATATTTAGGTTGACTATTTTTTATCTTCCTAATATGAGAAAGAACACAAAACTCTTGTCTATATATGCCTGTTAACACTTGTCTTTCTACAATACTGATCTTCACTATACAATAGGGTTTGCTTTTGTTCACCATTAAAGTATCCCTATTTCCCAGTATAGTGCCTGGAGAACAAAAGGCTCTCAACAAATATGGTTACATGAATTAATGATTCATTTCCCACCTTGATACCATGCCTGCAGCACATAAATTTCCCAGAACTATTTGTTTCCTGTGAAAAATGAAGGAAATAGCACATCCGCACTCTTTATCATTTATTTACTGGCACAAGGGCTTTAACCATTCTCATTTTATATTTTTAATCAATGACATATTTAGTGAAATATAGATGTGCTTAATATACAAATAAACTAAAGTCTGAAAACATAAATAAAATGATAAATGATTGAATAATAATTCAAAAGGATTTCAATATGATGACAGGAGACTGAAAACCAATAAATAGCCAGCATAGTAGATAAGATATTAAGGTAATATTAAACAAGGAATATTGAGTTTACCTTCAACTCAGTTAGAAAAATATAGAATGGAGGAGACAAACTTGGTAGCTATGTATTACAAAACTAGAAAACAATGATAACCTGGGAGTGTATTGACCAAAACCTCAGGTCAACAGTGTCCTCTGATGGTTGAATTCTACCAAGTGCAAGCACAGACTGGAACCTTGGCCTCTTGAGTTAGCAGAGCAACCAAAGATCATTTCTTCATAACCCCTTGTGCTACCTAATCCATGACTTTCTCATATGAAATCTTAAAGAAAGTTCTTATTTAATGATGCCACTGTGTAAATCTCCCATCTATAATCTTTTGAGCCTTTATTTCTATCAGATACCAATTTCCACTTTGTTTCTTTTATTTCTTGATCCATCATGTCAGTCTTTTGCTAATATACTTAAACTTGTTGTCACAGTCCCACCCATCAGATTCTAGAAGAATGAAATTCTCTATAGTTTCCATAGTAAAAACATGTTGGAAAATTCTGCAGGGAAAACATATCCCAGCATCCAATCAATGTAATTAAAAATTCACAGTCTTCCTAATGTATCTTCAACATTCCTCTTCCTACTGTTTTTTTCTCAACTGAAAAGACCTATGTTAAAATCTCTCCAATTTAAAAATATGCATATCTTTTCTTCTTAAGTCTCCTTTTAGTTACTTCAATTTCTTTTCTACTCTCCACAGATAGTTTATCAAGAGTTCTCTCTTGTCAGTGTTACCACTACTTCTCCCTTCCACTCACAATCAACACACTTCTATGTTGCTTTTATATTTAACACTTTTGTAGAGAAACACGGTGGACATTTTCAGGTCTCTTCTTGGTCAGAGCATTTTACATGTAGACTACTGTCCATTACTGCAGAAAACCTTCCCTTTCCTAGTTATCCTCCTCCATCTTTGGCCATCTTTCAGTCTCTTTTGTGTATTCTTCTTTCAATGTGCATCCTTACATGTTTTGGTTCCTTCTCAGAGTTCTACCCCCAAAGCATATACACAATGGAATATTACTCAGCCTTAAAGAAAAATGAAATTATGGCATTGGCAGGTTAATGGATGGAGCTGGAGAATATCATGCTAAGTTAAATAAACCAAACCCCCCAAATCAATATCAGTATCCTCTGATAAGTGGATACTGATCCATGGATGGTGGTGGGGGGATAGAGAAGAATGACTGTGCAGAGGGAAGTAAGAGGAGGGGAGAGGGTGTGGAGATGGGAAGAATAGTGGAATGAGACAGACATTATTACCCTATGGACACGTTTGATTATACTTCTGGTGTGACTCTGCATCATGTACAGCCCAAGGAAGGAGAAGTTGTGCTCCATTTGTATACAATGTGTCAAATGCATTCTACTGTCATGTATAACTAATTAGAACAAATTTTTAAAAAGAAAAAAAAAGCTCTTCTCTCCTATTCCACAGAATCTCCATGGAATATGCACCCACTCCAAAGAACTGAATCAGAGAATCACTGTCTTGACAACACCCACATGTACTTTCTACTCACAATCTCACTTATGAACTTCACACTTCTATAATCCATCTGTATTAAGCATGACATTTTATTTCAGGTATTTCTGTTGCTTTGATGTTTGGGGGTTTGAATGATATTAGTTGGAACTGCCTCTCTCAGTGTCACAGTCTCTAGAGATATTAAAGGACTTTGCTGAAAGCAGAACTTTCATGCACAAACTGACCAATCCAGAGCCCATATTCCAATTAAATGCTTTATTGAGTTCTCAGTTTTGGACATTAACCACCTGCCTTAATAACCCCATAGCTAAATACCAGAAAACAAGGATAGCCTTTATACTCCAGGGCATACTGAAATTATTCAAACTAGCAAATTATAAGTTGTATACATTGTGTCACCTGTTTTGTTTTCTTACTATGGAAACCACAATCATAGCTCTTGTCCACATTCTCATTCACTCTTTCTGCTTCCTAATGAAACCTGGTGCTTCATGTGGCCTCATGCAGCATACCATGCCCCTTCCTCTTGAGAACTGTGAGTAACGAACTATTGGTTAAATCACAACATTTCTTGATCTGCTGCCCTCCTTATACTGTTAATGATAACATGGCCTGAGGGGAAGAAGATGGCAGGCCAGAGGGAGGCAGCATTCTGTGTCACTCTGTGATACAGATCTCACCTAATGGGAATATTGCATCTCTGAGAGTGTTAGATGACCCCTATACAGCTGCTCTTGCACAGAAATTACCTTCACTGTGCCCCTGTGCAGGGCTTTGGGCCTCAGCATTTGAGCAGGACTCCCGTTTGAGCAGGACTCCTGTTTGAGCAGTAGTCCTGATTCCTGACACTCAGCCCCCAAAAGTTCTAGCCAATGCAGGGCTTGTGGGTGCCTAGAATAGCAGAATCACCTATCAGCACAGCTGCAGAACTCAAACTTCACTCTGCTCCCACACAGATCACTCAGCTGCTATCTACCCTCAGCACAACATCATCGCCTGGCGCCCCCCACCCCACCCAACACCTTGGCACTGGAAGCAGACTGCCTCCATCTTGGCTCAACTTCCTTGCCATATTTGGTGGGTGCAGCTCCCAGACTGGAACTCCAGCTGGCCAGGTACCAGGTTTCCAACTTCCCCCTCTTCCCAGCAGCGATAACCCAACATAATAGATGTTCAACAAAAAATGGGTCTCAGTTGGACAGGTGCCCAGCCCAAC